TTTCGGTAGGTTTTCTTAGATCTGAATTTATTTTATTTGTTGGTGGAATTTGATACTGATGCTTGTTTTTGGGTGGTAGGAATCGTACGAAGGGCAGCAAGATATACAGTTGATGAGGTTTGCTGATTATTTTGGACGTGCATTTTCTTCTGTGAGCGCGTCTCAATTTCCGTGGCTTAAGTTGTTCAGGGAGTCTGCCGTGGCAAAAATCGCCGATGTGAGTTGCTTAGGATTTTATTTAGTATTCATTTGTTTGTAAATCTGTATTTGGAAAAAAATTAAGCACCAAGGCAGCTAGATGAGTTTTAATGGGTTTTCAGCTGCATGTGCCAACAATGTGTTATGAACTTATGGTATAATTAGATAATATATTGTGGGGATTTTATGGAAGCAAAATAAATTATGAACTATGATTTGCCTTTTGATTAATAAGTGATTATGTACCACACAATTTCTAATGTTAAATTTTGGGTACATAATATTCCAGAGTACTAGTCTAGATTCTTGTTTGAAAATCACGTGCTTTTTGGTTGATCAATAAAACTTTGATTTCCTGTGTTGCCGTGGTAGTGGTTTGGTTTATTCTCTAACTGATGATTTGAATATTGTGGCACTTGATGTTCTCTATTTGAGTTTTTCTGCATCAGAATTAGTTTGTTGCTTCCATTGCGAGTTTTAGGCTTAGAATGAGAGGTGCAGTACAGACACATGGAATCTAATGTTAGCTTTTGTCGTTCTTCTGATTTTTTTTTTTTAAATATTGACACTCCTGCATTTGTTGTGGCCTCTAACCAATTGTCATCGCCTAGATATACAGCTTTCTCCTGGTATGCATTGGACGATATTATTTATGATTATCGTTTCCTGATTCTATTGCTTTTTTTTTTTTTGGTATGCATTGGACCTTTATGATATCATTTATGCTTGATATGATCTGTGTTTTTGGTTGATTTTTTGGATGCCTTTGAGGCTTCAGAGGATCTTAGGCCTTAGAGTGTGCTCATTTTTTCTTTTCCTTTTTATAATCAGGTCCCTGTTTCTCATGTTTCTGAAGCTGTTTACAAGGCTTCAGTTGACTGGATCAATCATCGTTCCAACGAGGCATTGGGAACCTTTGTGGTCTGGTCATTAGATTGCATATTTGCTGACTTGGCTAGCCAACAGTTGGGATCTAAGGGTCCAAAGAAAGCCGGACAGCAAGCATCTTCAAAGTCTCAGGTAGATGTACACAATGCTTCTTTTTTCACATTTTAGCTACTTAATAAGTTAGTTTGCAGTATCATCGGTCAGTGTTTTTTTTTTCCTAAAAAAATTGGCCTTTTAAATGGCCTACAATCTGACCTCAAATGGAATTCGAATTGTTGACCTAATGCTACTCACCCCACCCCAATACCACTCAGGCAAGATCTCCGCGGTATAGTGCTGGACAGTCTCTAATTGTTATCTTGACTAAATGGTCTGTAATGATCTACCAATTTGTTTTGGTTTAGATTCATGAGCAGGCTCGTGTGTTGCCTCCTGAATAAAATGATACTAGTTTTTTCATAGTTTTATAAGTTGTATAATTTCGTACTAGAAAGTGCAATTGAAGTTTTTGGTTCTGAGTGGTTTGATAACCTCCTTTGAATGGTCTTGTTTGGACACATTATATATTGCATATAGAGGAAATTATAAAACTAATATTTTTCCCCATCACTTTTAACACTGTAGTCGAAGTTTTATGCAGTTTGTCACTTGAGTTAGGAATGTTGTTCAAGTTGGTGATTTTAATATCCGGTTCCTGTTTAATAATTTTTTTTTAGACTTTGATCCTTTTAAGTGTTTCTTCTTCACTATGTTGGAAAGCTCATTTTTTTTGTACATAATATGTTTACTGATTCTGATATAGTGAAGGATGTTGTGGATGCAATCTTATGTCTTTCCAAGGGTTCCTCTCTTGAGAGAAAAAGTTTATATTATATAAATTAATTTTAAATTGAAGGATAGTTGGCTCGGATTCTCAGAATGTATTACATTGGTATCCGGTTCCATTTACTATTTACTCATTTGTTTCGTTATATTACATCTTTGTCAATTATCACACGTTAAATTTCCCACTCCTTACCTTTCTAACTTACAGTGTCATATCATAACATCTTCTGGAGAGTATGCAATCTGTTATCCATTTACTAAGTTGTTGATATTACAGGTTGCTATCTTTTTAGTTTTAGCAATGGTATTGCGGCGGAAACCTGATGTACTTATTAACTTATTGCCAAATTTGAGCGAAAACTCGAAGTATCAAGGACAAGATAAGCTCACAGTTATTATATGGATGGTAGTTCAGGTGAGAAAGTTACACTACTCTCCACCATATCATCAATTTCGGTTCATATAGATGCCTTGGTTTTTATTCCCTGTGTATTCGCTATTCCAAGCTGAAACTGAGCCTTTCTGTGTAGGCATGTCAAGGAGACTTAGCTGTAGGGTTGTATTTATGGGCTCATCATATTTTGCCTGTACTTGGAGGAAAATCAGGGTCTAACCCTCAATCCAGGGACTTGGTTTTGCAGTTGGTGGAAAGGTTTGAAGTTGTACCCTCTCCAAGACTTTGAAGTGCTTTGATTATTTTCTTCATTTTCTTAAATGACATAATCTACTTATCCGTGTCCCAGAATTCTGGCTGTACCAAAAGCTCGTGGCATATTAGTAAATAATGCCGTTAGGAAGGGCGAGCGCCTTGTGCCACCTGTAGCACTTGACCTATTGTTACATGTCGCTTTTCCTGCTTCATCTGCACGAGTTAAGGTACGTGTCATTGAAAAACTTCTGCACTATCTTTAACAGAATCAGAAATTATTACAAAGGGGTCTTCGATTCTCTTCTCTACTGTGATTAGATATGGTTGTTACGTATAATAGGCTACCGAAAGATTTGAGGCAATTTACCCACTTCTGAAAGACGTTGCTCTTGCTGGTTCCCCTGGAAGCAAAGCAATGAAGCAAGTGGCTTTGCAGATCCAGACTTTAACTGTTAAAACAGCTGGAGAAGGTAATTTTTTAATTTTAAATTTTAAATTTTAAAATCTAAAATTTAAACCACTCTCTATTCTTGCCTCAAAGTAGTTAGTATTTAGTAAAGTAAACTACGAAGAGCATTTGATAAAATGGCCCTTTCAGGTATTCCGTCACTATCTGAGGAAGCATCTAGCATCTTTATATGGTGTTTGGTTCAGAATCCTGATTGCTACAAGCAGTGGGTAACTGTTTTGTATTGCTATTTCGAATTCTAATATTATTATTATTAATAATTTTCTTCTTGCCCTTTGGGTTCAGACGAGAATAATATTAATGTTAATTGTTCTGATTTTCACAGGACAAGATTTACGAGGATAACATAGAGGCTAACGTAGCTATCTTACGAAAGCTTTCCGAGAATTGGAAGGAGATTTCTTCGAAACATTCCTCTCTTCAACCACTTGGGGAAACTCTGAAGAGTTTCCGTCAAAAGGTCGACTTTTCTAGACCTGTCCTTGACTCATTGGCTACTTAGTTGAAAGTCAACCGACTTATATATATTTCAACTGCCTTAAAATTTGCAGAACGAGAAAGTGTTGAGTGGAGGAGGAGATGTGACTCGACAAGGTTTGTTCAAGGAGGCCGATAAATACTGCAAGGTAATTTTGGGAAGGGTATCGAGTGGGCATGGTTGCGTGAAAATCGTGGTGTTTACTATTGCCGTGCTTGCTGTGGGAGCTGCTGTTGTTTCCCCAAAACATTGATGCTTGGGATTGGAGTAAGTTGTCCGTATGGTTAATGGCCAAGCAATCTTTTTGA